TCAACATTATTTATCCTTGTAAGGGCATTATATGCAGCAGCTCGCCACCCACTCAACAGAAACAAGCACAGAAACAAGCACAGAGCACACATAAAAGAAGTGAAATGCTGTTAATCACAAAAATAAAAACATTTGAAAGCTATAAGCTTACAAACTTACACAATATATGGTAATAAATACATTAATTAATACTGGAGCAACAATCTAAAAGGATAGAAAACAGACACACAAGGTAATAAGGCCATACAAAACAGTAAGGGACCCAACGTTAAACCCTGGGGGATTCCACATGGGATGCTCGCTGAACAAAACTACAAAACTAATAATTTATTATGTCCACAAATAATGAACTAATACATCAGTCCTGCAACAAACCATCCCCTCCAGGAAACTAAATGATCTTCAGTTTTTGTTGAAAATGTTTGAGGTGTTGACTTAACTTTCAGGCTTTCATGTTTGTGAGGATGCTGAATTGTTGTGTTATACTGAGAGAAGTTTCTAATATTCTGTCAACTCTCAATGACATGAAACATCTCTCACATCTAATAATTTATCAGCAGTGTAGCAGAGTGTGTATGTCTGTGAGTCATGACGCGAATCGGTCTACCACCAAATATCCCAAAAAGTATGTGTTCACATTCCCGGACTTCCAGACTCTACTTTGTTCTTTTCATCAAGGATTTTGTGTTGATCTCAAGATATATGGGCTTTCCTGTGAAGTCTCCCACCTCCCAACACCATTGTTATTCTCTTCAACTACAAATCTTGAGGATTTGCTTTTTTATGTAACCTTGTCTCAAAAGTTTGCTGTTCGCAACCCATTTATCTCAAATGATCTTCTACCCGCAGTCTCAGTTTGGTGCTAGCTTTATCTGTTTTCATGTCTTTCATACACCTTGCCCATCAGCTAATAAAACTACATTGTTAAACAGAGTTTACTCCACACCGGGTTCATCTTTTCAGATTCTGATAAAGGTGTTCTGGTATCAGACATTGGCTGTGATATTGCTGCACTCCCTGATCTCATGTTATTTAAGAGCTCCTCCACCCTATAACCTGAATTATATGACTGTACTGTGATGAAACATCAATGCTGCTTTTAAATTTTACATTACCAAAATGTATGAAAATCTGCTTTTCACGGGTTAAAAATGTCGCTCATTTTCAAATGTATATGGTTCAATCTTTACCTTGATGCCACACTGACAGCCAGCCAGCCCCCCGACCCCTTTTCACCTTTGCTTAATTAAACCCATTTCTCTGTAAATCACTCAAGTTTTCACATCATTTAAAATCGAGCTATTCTCTTCAATTCATCCTCAGCACGTCTTTTAAACGTTTTCAATCCGGTCGAGTGCAGCAAGGCTCTCCTGCGGTAATGTTAGTGAGCCATGCAGTCTCAGTGGGAGGGCGAAGGCCATGAAATATGGATCAGGAGCAGATATATTTAATTCTGTATTCACTGGATTTAAATGGGATGAGACCTGCACTTGTGGAGATTGTGTTACACTCCCTCTTGCTGCTGCATGTGCTGTCGGTACAATCCATCACTGCATTAAAAGAGCTGGAATGGTGAATGCAGATGGTGAAATATCTTCATAATAACCAAAAACAGATGCAACGGCAGACATCGTTTTTCTTTTTTAGAAGTGAAGTAATTAATTTTACACAACGACAGGGCTTAACTGACACAGCTGATTTCTCTCCGACTCAAAGCTAAATTTCACCACATGAAGAGAAGTAATCAGAGAAACTATTTTCAGTGTCAATGATCAATCAGATGTTTCTGCATGAATGTCAACGGCGCTAACAATTGCTCTGGGGAGCTAAAGAGTGAAATTAAACAATACATCATTTTCTCGCAGACCGCCTCACTTTAGGAACAACATTTAGATTAGTTTTGTTTTTAAAATGAAGATAATGAAAAAATCAATCGGAGAGAGGGAACCGTCTACAGCCATTCTTCTTTATGAGTGATGCAGCCTCTCCCCGGGTTTAACCAGTAATCAATATGTCGTGTTGTTTTGAGCTGTGGGGATTTTATTAATGCTGGAACGCAGTGGTGAGATTCAACACTGAGGTGTAGAGCATCAAAGTGTTTCCATCTGGCAGACGAGCCAGGCGGAGTATTTCAACACAGAGGATTGTAAAATGAAGCAATTCAATGAGGAGCTAAGTTAAAAAAATATCTCATCTCAAGGTCCTCTTACTAGCTTTCTCCAGGCTTTAAGGCATTACTAGTAATATTTTACTTTCCCCAGTGACTTGTAATAAATAATAATATTACAGTTTACCCTCATTACTTTGGTTGTCACCTCCTACTGATTTGAATCGTGCATGTCACAAAGCAGGAAGCTAGCTTGGAACATGTAAATGCTCACATCAGACAGACAGATCATTGGAAAACAATAAACAGGCAACAGGCAGACCGCAGGTTAAAACATTAATTTGCAAGCTAGACTATGTCTCTGAATAACAGACATTGTTTAAAAGAACTTTGAGTTTGTGTTTTTTTCAGTTTGAGCCAGGTGTGCTTTTCATCTACAGGGTTCCCACTCTTTAATAAATCATTCATTATAATTAACCAGTAGGCCTAGCATTAACACATATTCCTCCTTCGTGAAGTGTCTCAGCTTATTGTCTCAACTTATTGTCTTTTTTTGTGTTATCTGTTGTGTTATCTGTTGCTGTTGTAGATTCTTACTTTTTCTTTTGCTTGTACAGTGTTTTTTATTGATTTATCTTTTCCTACTCTTACTGTTTGTATACTGTTTCTTTTTTTGCTATCCACTCTTGCTGCTGGGCAAGCGATCCCAGAATTTTCCCCATTTGTGGGACAAATAAAGGAATAGCTTATCTTATCTTATCTTATCTTTATTACAGGAAGGTGGTTCAGCGTTTACGGGTCAATACGTTTGAAAAGAGTAAATTAACTACCCCTCAGTAGTCTGTCTGTCTGATCACTTATAAAATAGTCCAGTAAAATCAGGAGGATATTAGTACAAGAAACACATTTCTTTAGGTCTAATGAAAGCAAAATATGTTAAATTATAAAAACTGTTATAAGCTGGATATGTTCAACATTATTTATCCTTGTAAGGAAAGTTGGCGCTGAACTACCACACCTTTAGTCTAACTTCAGTTTTCTTTAAGTTACAAACAGTTTGTGAAAGTCCTGAAGATATGCAGGAAGTTCTCAGATTAAATACTGGAAAACATTTAGCTAGTGGCAGCATGTGTACCAAGAACAGTATATTGAACCCTGAGGGATCCCAAAACATGATGAAATACCTATAAATGAATGAATGGATACAGGAGGAGCAGAAATATCTCTTCTTACCTGGTTCTGGTCTCGGTATCTTCATGTGTGGAGTGGCACATGGCGCTGAACTGGGAGACAAAAAAGTCGTAGCGGCGGTGGTAGGACGGTGTGTCCTCCTCGATGTTGGCAAACTTCACAAACTAGAGGAAGATGAGAGGAACATTTATGAGTGTTATTTGTCTTAGAGATGATGAGATGATGATTCCAGCTCTTTTTAAGAAAAACATTTTCCAGGACTTTTCTTGACAATACAACTTGTCATAATTTTACAAGTAGGTCTAATATTAACTCCAGTTTTATTTATTTTCTTTTTTAATGATGCAGGTTCGTGATTAAGTGTCTCAGGTTCATTTGTGCATGTATTTATTATCCACAACTACAAGACATTTTTCCACTGTTGAGTTTCAAACTAAATACATGTGCAATCTCAGGCGTATATCTGAGTGATGGGCTTTAATACAACTTATTTCCAGGATATTTTGTTATTTTAATCAATTTCCAGGTGTTGTCCAGGATGCGTGGGAACCCCTGTTTAAGTGATTACATAATACACAAAACTTTTATGTTTCTAGAAATTTCCATTCATTATTTCTGGTAGTTATTTTTTGGGAAACGCTGCCTATCAAGTTCACTGTATAGTTATAGTGTGCTAGCTAAAACTGTGTCATACAGCTACACTTGGTTAAAACATATAGTAACTGCCACATTACCTGTGGTGAGGCGTTTAAGCTAAAGTAGGATAAAAATCAGAAAGCAAAAACCATATTTCTTGTTTTGTGGGGCAAAATCAGCGTTAGCCAAGACCAGAAAGCAGACATTTATGAATCTTCATGTGATACCAAATCAGGGGACTTCTGCAGTAGCTAAGATAAGATAAGATAAAGATAGGTTTGTGTCCTGTGTTATTTATCCCCCCTAAGGGAAAATAATTTTGACAACAGCAGCAATAGCGGCAAAGGCAGCGCAAAAAAATTAGAAAACAACAAGAATATCACAGTAAAAATATTGCTAATATTATTAATATTAGAAGAATTAGAAGAAAAACTATAAATTAAAGTATATGACACATTTGTTGTATCAAGTAGACATGGAGCCAAAATATGAGCAGAAAATTAAAGCTGAGAAAGTTTGAGCTGAGAAGATCAGCTCACTTATAAAAGAAACAATCATTTGGTAAGGAAAAAAAAAAAACGTATTTGTGTTTAGGTGGAAAATAAACACACAAAAAGCAATACAAATTGGTTTGAGGCTGACCTTCAGTAAATGTATTGTCACTAATAAACCACCAACTACAACATGCTGACTGCACAGGACATCAACCTGAACCAAGTGTAATTTGAAAATGTGTGAAAACTAATTAGCGCGCATGCAGAGATGTCAAAATAGAAAGCTAGAAGTGATGAATGGAAGTAGTATGAATCCAAACAAGACTAAGCCTGAGCATCAACACTTCCAGGTTCATTGTGTCCTGTATGAAAGAACTAGTGTGAAAAAATCCTCTTTTTTAATGAACAGTGTTAAATTACATCCAGGTTAAAATCAATTCCAATTAACACATGTCGAACATGAACACTTGTGTTGATGAAGAGCTGATGTGATAGGGCTGTGGGGGGTCAAACAAATAAAGTTGTGCCTGAATTGGACCAAAAAAGGTGCCAGTACCCTAATTCAGCTCAACCAACTCTAAACACAATATAATCCTCTGATACAGAGTTTATGTTGTTCTGCCACTATCCGACTAATGATCATCAACTAAAGACTCAATTAGGTCGACTATTGGGGGGCTGCATCATATCATATTATCATATTCTTGCCAATACGCAGCCCTAACTTTAACCTACTGATGGTATTTAAGTATTAAAATGTAAGTATATGGGCTTGTATTGGTAGATACTAGATAAAAACTGTCCTAAATACACCTCTTACAGCCCGCACTGATGTACTCAACAGAAGTTGAACTCAAAAACAGACACTCACCCTTTACTCGAGGTTTGCGATGGCACGAACGTTTACAGTGACAGTAAAAATACCGCCATATCTTTACATAGGCACAAACTGGAAATCGACGGTGATAATGGTAATAACCATTAGAGAGCCACCCCTCTTCTGTTCAGCCTATAATTTCGTCCCTCCAAACAAGCGTAGAGTGTCCTCTGGAGAGGCCTCCTCTGTCTCCTCGCATTCGAGTAGCGCTCGGTAATTGCCTCGGTACAGTTCGGCACACTGCTGACCGAAAGCCCCCCGATGTTCTACCTGGTAATTTCCTCCCATTTTGTGCCTAACCTTTCCAGGGGGTAATGGCTCAGATGGAAGGAGGTATGTTGGCAGCTGGCACACACAAGAGCGGCTTTCCCCCTCAGCTTCCCAAACGTGTTAAATCCAAGAGTTAGACACAGAGAGAGACGGGACTAATTACTGGGTTGTGTTTATGAGGTGCTGAAGGGGAACTCTGGTGGCGACTGGAGTGTGGGCGCTGGATGGATTTAGTTTAATTATATTCTGTCGTAAAAACAATACATACATCACATCCTTGTATGCAAAATGATATTCAAAACCAAGGACACAGATTAATTAGAACATTTGTTTTTTGCCAGGCTAGTTTCCATGGCAATGTCAGTCTGTCATTACACAAATGGAAATATCTTGACAACTATTGGATGGATTAAGAAACATGAACAATAAATCAACAAATCTGGTTTGGTCGAAGTTAAAACATTTTAATTTTTAATTGGTAACTTTTGTTTGTTGGAACAGTGGAAACACAAACCAACGTTCTGGTGAGTTTTACTTCCTGGCAAGTTTGATTGAAGACAGCCTCGGACACAAAAATGTTAACCTCTAATTGTTAAGCTAAGATAATTGAAAATCAATAAATAAACATTATTGATTTGGGTGCTTACAATTTTTGATGAGAGCTGTTGTCATAATGGAGGTTGAAGGTACATATTGTAAAGCGTCCGCCAAATGAATGCAATGTGAGTTTTAGTGGTTTCACATTTGTGTATCTTGATTATTCTGAACATTTAAACTTCCACTCAATTTGAACCCATTTCTGCGTTTCCATTTCACTTTAACTGACTGAAGCCGTTCACATCAAGAGGATAACTGCTTCAAGTGACGAGTGGGTCATTCCAGTTGAAGCTGAGGTTTCATCATGTAAATAAGACTAATCAAAAAGGCTTCATGCCTCACCGATGCCTCGTGGCGAAGCAGTTAGCGAAGCGGTTCAACAATGAGAAAATGAGAGGGTGATACAAACACCAGCACAATTTGTTTTGCTTCCCTCGGGCGATTTTAAAGAGCTCATTTAAAAAAAAAAGGTGCCATTAAAAAGTGCTGTGAAATGGACTGGTTTTACTTATCTGTGCATGCTGATTGCATAACAAGTGGTAAAGAGTAGAATCCATTTACACAGTCAGTCGCCAGTGAGCTCGAGGTTGATCATTATCCATCGCTCTTTAGAGCAAAAGTGAGCATTTAAAAACATGGTAGTCAATTAAAAAAAAGACGTTTTTCTAATTATGTTGTCAAAGATGAAGCTTTTACACAAAAACCTCCTCTTTTACGGGTCAAACGCTAATTTCCTGTAGGTTTTGAAAGGCATAAGATCTCTGCAGTGAGCACAAAGGCTGCGGTTAGATACATGCAGTGAAAATACAAGTAATTTGAATATACTGTGCTTATGGACGGATGGAGGGAAAGTGGATTGTGCTCTGGGTTCTTATCGACTTTCTGATATTAAAACTTGTCACCGTCAGAATCCATTTAAAGTGACAAGAATTCAAGCTGATTAAAGTTACTCTCCGTGGAGGAGGAAATTACAAACTTACTACAGCTGTCACAGTGGGAGTGAACAAGCTAGCAAGGAGGATTCAGGGTTCAGTTTGCTTTGAATTTTAACAGCGTCATTCTTTGTCTTATACATAGTTTCCTGCAATTAAACAACCAAAGTATGTGTCCATTTAAATACTCCAATTAAAATTTCCAAGCATATCAATAAACGAGGGGGCTCTCCGAGGAGAATGTAAGGTGGTCATTTTTTGATGGAAGCCGTGACCCATCCAGAGCAGATCACATTGACAGGAAGTCAAACGCAGACATAGACAATCTGGTCAACTATCTAAATAAAATACGCCATGCAGACTCTGGAACATCCTACTTGCTCCTTGCTGCTATAACTTGCGAGTAAAGACGTCGTACATCAGATATCAGAGAGGAAGGAAGTCATCAAACATTATTAAAACTTTAATACCTTCGTCTGTGAACAATTTGTGTCTGAGTATCATCAGCAATGACTCTTTGACTACATCTTTTGTCATTGTTTGATGTGGGAGAACCTCAAGCGGCAGAAATTACATACTGTACATGTAACATCAAAATACATATTTAATTCTGTTTAAAACTTTTATTTCTCTTTATTTTTAGCATTGTTTTCTGTCTCAAATATAAAAACTGGTCTTATTTCCATTAACAAGATGAGATCTAATTATCAGCATTCACTGACATTTAATGAACTATCAGGAGCTCTTCTGGTCTGGACACCGGTTTACTGCCGACCCCGTTGGCGTGTCGGCTTGACAGTTTGAGTGGGAGGACGCAGACTGTTTACTGCCTCAAGCCGAGAAGTTGGACACTGTAGCCTGAAGCAATTTAATACGGTTTCCCCTCTGCATTAGTTTTGATTTCAAGCGATGATAAGTGCAGAATATTAAAGTATTTATATTTCAGGTGTCATCGGAGGCCCTGCCCACCTGTCTGCTTCATTTTGGTGAAGTTATAACAGCCGTTTCTAGGCAACTATCAGAAACCCTGGCATCTGCAGTTTATCACAGAAAAATGTTGATGTCTTCTGTTGCACACAGAGCCATAACGGGCCGCTGCCTCCCGAGTCCTGACTCAGGTAATGATGACGAAGACCTTCTCGGCCCGCTAACAGCCAGGCTGGGAGTTTGTTTCCCCCTCAGTTCTCGTTTGTGCTGAACGATCATCAAAACTCTCCTCTACCTCCGGCGACTTGGCCGCCTCAAGGCACACAGGGAAGATAAGGTTAATGTATATTTACTGTCTGGAGTTTCATGCACAGTCATTAAAGCTGCGCTAATCAATATTTTTTATATTAAAATGGATCAAATGACTCTGTGTAATGTGCTTTCAGTGAAAATGTCACAGAAAATTTAATTTAAACTCATTGTTTTGGTTTCATGGCCTGTAAATTCGGTTCTCATCGACCCAATTTGTTTTCATGAAACAAGCTCTGATGAAGCGATCTGCCTAGCACCAGACAGCACAGACACAAGCAATCAACGTTTTTGTGCACATTTTTAAGTATCGCATTACAATAGCTTGATAGAAATTTCATAAAATGTCCTCAATTATACAAAAAGTTTGTCTTCTCTTTCAAATAACAGTTAAAGTGGGAGATATCCTGACTGGAGAGTGCTGCTTATCTACTGAACAAACTCCTAATGATCGCCTAACGGATGGAAACAAGCATTCTTTCGGATTTTCTTTTGGCGATTTACTTTAAATTCAATTTGCGATACATTTAAATAGAAACGCAACTACACTACACTACTTACGCTGCCCCTCCCTTCAAACTTTTAAGACAAAACCAAGTGTGAACGTATTTTAACGTCACCCATTGGTTTGTGGAGAACTGCTTTGAAGCCTTGAGATCGGCATTATGGTCGTCGCCATGACGTCTTGCTGGATTTTTAAAAAAAGCTAGCGAGTAGATGCAATTAGGACTTTTATCTGATGTTACAAGTTGAATTAAATTGCATTTTTATCCTTCTATGTCTTTGTGTATTTTCTCTCTTATGAAGCACATGATTTTCTTTTTGTATAAGAAGGCGCTGTAGTTTTGTACCTTGTCTTTTAATTATGGTTCTCGTGTCACAGATTCCTGCACATACACTGGCTTTTGGCAATTAAAAGAGTTTCTGATTTTGGCTCTGAGCTTTACATAAAAGGCCTCAAACAGAGAAAAAAACAAAGACTTCACTGTGGACTAATGAAGGCCTCTCTGTTAGAAGAGGAGCCGACACTTTAGTGGCCATCTGTGAACTAACTGTGACTGTTGTGTGAAATCACAAGTGAAGGAGGACAACAAAGGCCACAGTGAAAGCAGCAGAAGGATTCTAACAGAGGAGATCACTGGTAGAGTTCACTCAGATCACAGACGACTCTTGGTCGGAGGAAGTACGGCTAATGAGAGTTCTGAAATACAGCATGTGTACTTATTGTCAGCAAAGGAACGAATGAAATAATCTAATTTTTGTCAGCAGTTGGTGGCGGTAACGTGCTGCATTTGGCTGCAATCCGCGAATAAAATACAAAAAGAAGTGACCAAATTTAGTAGTCACTCTAGTTAGTTTCGGCATGCTAGCTGCCAGCCTTGGTGTGCAAGTATCCAGCCTCAGAATCTAGCCAATCCAGGGGGTAAATCTAGCCTCGACATGCTATTAGCTAATGACTAGTCAAGTGAATAGCCTAGCTAGCTATTGGTTTATTGATGGTTTATTAAACTGAACACATACTAGGTGAAATAAAATTCAGTCTTGTTTAAATTTTGTTTTTATTACAAACTGATTAAACTCAGAAAACACTGACCAGGAACGTTTTATTATCCAGAAACTGTAACAAATCTGATCGGGGAAGTAAATACAAATACAAATAAAATGGAATTGAATTGAATTAAAGAGAGAAACGAGTTAACCAAAGGTTGAACAGACAAACAGAAATACAATTTTCCCGGCTGTATGTGCGGCACATTTGGCTCCAGATGCTATAAATACCCGACGTACAAACTCCCCCTGTGTGTCTGACTCAGTGGCTTCATGTGTCTGAGTGTGGACTGATGAGTGTCTCTTCTATTGAGATGGAGTGGAGGAAGAGACACTTCTAGCCGTCGCAGTCTGCCAATTTCTTGTGACAAAGTTAACGGGCAGATAAATTTGGAAACAGCGAATGCCTGGCAGCACAAACACTCCGGTGACACACACACATTTATACTGGAGTTACACACACATGCTGGGCAGGGTAAAAACAGAAGAACTGTTCTCTTGTAAGAGGGAAAAGAGTTACATGAAAGGTGATAAATTGTGCATGTTTATAATGAATGTGTCATTCTTAGATTGATTGGGAACTGTTGTGTAATTTATTTACAAAATGATGTGTCACCTCCACCTATGAGGTTTTCTGTTGTTAGTCAGCAGAATATCTCAGAAGTTACTGCACAGATATGAATGATATTTGGTGGAAAGTTACAAAACAAGAAATGTACTTTTGATGGGAATCTCTTGATTTAATTTCATTATAAATTCAAATTCTTTTAATGTTTTGACAGTTTCCAATTCTTTTTGTTCTGTCCGCTCTTTGGTTGTTTTCTAATACAGGACGAGGCTGTTTATGAGAGAGTGAATATCTGTCAATACACACTGTGTTCAGGTCTTAAATAATAATCTAAACTTTAAAAATAACTACTAAATGTAGTTTTCTTCACAGAAATGAATTAAATTCTGACATATAGGCCTACTGTGTATATTTTGTAAGTTTTCTCGCAACCCCCCAGGAAGCTTGGCGATCCCTAGTGGGGGTCCTGACCCCCAGGTTGGTTTAGTTTGTTTCTGACTGGACACTGGACTGCTGTTTACCTCCTGTATTCCCACATCCCAGCTATTACCTTTGTGAGTCCAGTTCCTGATAGAAATGATGTAAAACCACCAAAATAAGTCGTATTATGCTGGAATAATGCTTTGAATGACCTCCGACCTACTTTTCTTGCTTGCTTGTAATGTTGCTGATGGAGGATATGAAGTATTCTTCAACCCGCAGTGAGCAGCTTTGCAGAGGAGCGTCTACAAAAAGCCAAATGTGTGATGTTTGTAACCAATTAGTCGCTTCTGAGGCTCCAATGAAAGCGGCCGGCCAGTTTCAAACAGTCTTTCAACAAATTTGCTGTAATTTGTTGAGCTCTGTGTTGTTCTGCAGACATCTCAAACAAACTCATTAAACTGATAATTACCCGACAGAACGAACACGAGTGCTTCGTTTTTGCTTCCGCTACCGTGCAAAAACCAAACATTAAAAATGAAGCAACTCGACTTTGTAGCCAGGGCCATGAAGGAAAATTTAATTAACACCGCTATCGCCAAAACACCACCCTCCACCCTCCCAACTCACCTACCTGCCTCTGCATCCACTCTCCTCCTCTGTCAGAGTCTAAATACCACATATAAATAATGCAGAGGCTTTCGCATCTAAACCTTCGGCTCTGTTTCCTGCTCAGATGAACCCCCGACAATGGCAAGGACGACAGCCTCAGAATAGGGGGCGAGAAGAGGGAAAAAGAAAAAAAAACTTTGGGTTCACCTTCAGAAGACTTCAGAAGAAGAAATGGGGCTGACATTGCCTGCTTAAAATAATTAGAGTCTCTCACAGGATACGGTATAGGGCCATTTCCACTGCCAGAGTAAAAGTTAAATTAGGTATTTAACCACCGACAGCAACCTCTGGGCTGCAACTGATTGATCTGTATTGTTTGTTGCATTGTATGAAGTGTCTGCACAATCACAAATAGATGGATTCTCTCATTTAAAGGCAACCTTAACAACATGCACGAATACATACGGGTGCAAGAAAATACAGAAAAAAAGTGTATATTCATTTTTGTGATATTGTATCGATACTCAAAAACAGTGAATTGATTTTTGCTAGTGTTGTAAAGCAGTGGTTCCCAACCCTTTTTCTATTAGTCAGTAACCTGAATCAGTGACATATTTTATGGATATTTCATATTATATTAAGAACTGTACAATGAACCCAAACAGTGAACTCAGTAACTGCATGAAGTTTGTGTAAAACCAGAGATTTGGATACATTTTAAGCAGATTATTTCCTGTTGAAGGAACTTTTTATACAATTATCTGTCTGTATTATGTATTTTTAGTAGTTTTTAACGATCATACAGACTTAATACGATGCTTTTCTGACAGATTCAGTGTTTTATTGTCCCTGATGCTTGGCCATAGTTCTAATAGACAATTTACTTTACTTTTCTTCACAGAAGTAAACCAAATGCTGACATATAGACCTACTGTGTATATTATTTAAAGTTTGCTAGCACACCTTAAAATCAAGAAGGCCTTACCGAGTTGGTTCCCAGGACCTGCAGGTCTGGTTCTCTGGACTCCAGCAGCTTGGCCACCATGTGCAGGAAACTCTCCACGAAGGGTTTGATGCTCTGAGAGTGACAGGCCATCAGCAGCTGGTCCAGAGCCTCCATGGCTATCACCACGTACCTGCACAGGGGAACGGGGAGCGTCTATCATCCAGAAGTTTTTTACATTTAATCACACAAAAAGTCTTCTGCTACTTCAAAGACCTACCAGCTCCCAGTCAATTAGTACTCAGCAGGTAACAAGCTAGCTGCTAACAACCTTCTGATATGATCTGATCTACAGCTGCAACGGTAATAATAATAATAATAATAATAATAATAATAATAGCCAACAATTTTGACAATTCAATAATCGTTAAAGTATTTTTTCATGCAATAATGGCGGAAAAGGCTGTTTTCAGCCTCTCAAATTGTCTTTTATATGACATTAAACTCAATATATGTGGATGTTAGACTCACAAAACAAGACTTGATGAAGAAGAACTGGGATATACATTTTTCTTTAGATGAGCTCGATGGTTTATCTGGAGGAAGACTCATTGCTCTGTTTGTCTTTTTGAGAAGTAAAAAGATCACAGCAACCATCTTGGCTGAGAACCATTTAGCCAGACGACAGCCAAGTGTTTAATTCTGTACCTTAGCCAACTCACAGAATTAGCGTTAATTAGCAATAGTTAACTAAACTCGCCAATGACAGCTGTCGTTTCAGCCTGTGAAATCAATGTTTTATTCAGCAGCGTAATGAGAAAGTCTGTCGGCCGCTGGTCTCTATAAAGCGCTGCAGGACTGTTGCAACTACCAGTACAAAATGGTGTCAGTCCAACAACATCTGTGTCGACCTTTAAAACTGTTATCTAACTGCTTACCGAAGCATAAACTGAACTCAATATTTACCATCTTCTCAGCAGATACCAGAACTTTAAATGGTATGAGATTTAAATCATTAATATATCAGCAAACAGCTATTCTCTATATACAGATACAGAGGTCACATGGTGTCTCTCTCCCTCTGCCTGTGTGATTCACCTCTCTGTGGTTTGTTTCCACAGCCGGTCTGCTCCGGCTGAAACTGCTGTTTTTATCATTACGTGGTGGAATTAAGGATTTATTAAACAAAACCAGAAGTGGTGATTGTGGAAAGACTAACAAAGATGGTTTTTGTGAGTTTTATTTTTGTCCCACTGTTTTGGGTCTGAGTTGCTGGTGCTCTAGTGCCATCCAGTGGCAAGTGAATTTCACGTATATAACCTTTAAGATGCTGTTTAAATCCCAGCAGCTGGAAAAAATGAAATAAAAACTACATATTTAATAGAAACCTAACTTTAACTATAGTAATCATAGTTTTGTTGATGCAGTATCTGGGTGTATATTATGGAGACTGCCTGTGTACATTTAATGAGATGAGTTTATAGGAGCAGAAACTGACATGTCAGTGTGCTCCATCTGGGAGACAAAAGCTTTGCCAGATCTAACGTCAGCTTTGGGGGTTTGAGTGACATAACAAACCGGAGCATACGGACGTGTCACTTTGTTGGATGGACGGAGGGTTTCAGGAGGTGCCAAATGGTTTTGCATCGACACATGGACGATTACAGATGGAAGAGAGAGAGTTTGTTCTCTGACTGTCAGCTTCAGGGAATAAAAGTCACAGCCAATTAAACACAATTTCTGACATTATAATCACTGTATTGATTTGGTGCTGCCAGTCTTCTTTTATAAATACATTGGGGATATTTTCTGTCTCTCAGCTCATTTTAATTACTTTCTAGGTGCAGAAAGCACTAAATGGTTCAGGGAAATGTAAATGGATGAGACTTTTACATTGTGATGAGTTAATTACGGTTTCTTTGAGAGCTTCCTTCACTTTGTGTTGTTAAATGTTAAACTTTACCTTTCTTAACACTGGGCTGTTTGTGCTAATGGCATTGTTACATATATTACTTAGGCATGTTGTATGTTATCCTAAGTTATAGTTGGGTAGAAGTTTTTTTCACACTGGGTTCCAGGGACCAACAGGGGCCCTTGGGTTGGTCTGTAGGGGGTCCCCAGCAAAAAGAGGAATATTTTAACATTTATCACAATTTTGTTGTAAATTGGAACAATGGAAAGAAATAGGATCACTGCAGCAAGTACGCTGCATGATTACTGTGTGGTTTCTTGTTTGATTGATTAATGAAATATGTTTTTAAATTATTCTTAATGTTGCAGTTGGAGAGTGCAAAAAATAAAAAACCACAAGGTCAAACATCACTTACCCGTAGCGGTGTCGTACCACATCTCTGCTTAGCCTCTCGGCCAGGTAAGCTCCAATCCTGTCCAGCTTCTCTGGAGCCGACACGGCGTAAAAGGTCAGCTTCTCCATGTCTGATTTACTGAGGCCATCCTAAAGAAAACAGAAGGCGGTCCAGATTTACAGGATTTAAAAGGATGAGTCAGGTAAGATTCTTATTCTTTACTGTCAACATGTTCCATTGATCTTACAAACAAAGCCTAATATATCTTCTTCCCCTGTGCCACAGAGCTCCAATGTTGTCCAAAATCAGCAGTGAGTCAATTTCCATAAGGCCCAATATTAAAATGTACAACTTTACAGTAGAAATAATTATGTTTACAGCCTGGTACAAAAAATGGTTTTGGTTTCTATAGCTAATTTTCTCGTTCATGATTGAAATTATATTACGGCTTAAAGTTATATATAATTAAGGGCGTGGACTCTGAGTGACAGGTGGGTGCCGTCACAGCCAGCTGTTTTCAGTAACCAGGCTTTATTCAGCTCCCTCTCTCTTTGCCCATTTTTGAATTAGCCGGAAGCCGGCAGAGTCAGGACTGCCAAGATGGCGACGGCCAGAGCGGACCACACTGAGCTTCACAACGGCTCTTCACAAACCTACGGTGGACGTCACGGAAACTATGGACTGTTTAAATAATACAGTCTTTGGTCTGAACATGAGATTTGTAGATTTTAAGAAAAATATAGAACAACAACTGACCTCCGCCCACAGACTAAAGCTTCTATACATTTCCTATTCTTGATGTCTCTAGTTTTGTTCCAGATAAAATAAGAAGTAATAAGTAAAGTCAAATAAATCAAGACTCCAAGACTAATTTAAAATGTAAAATAAACAAGCTCTTCTGTCAGTTTCATCTTCAGTAAATGTTCTGCAGAAAGTCAGTGAGATAGAAAGTAATTCTATTCACACATAAAGTCAACTTCATTATATCCTGACACCATTTCTTAAAACTCTCCACCGTATACAACAATGACATTAAAACAGTGATGTTAAATGGCCTGTGAATGTGTGTTTCAGCTCTTCTGCTCTGACAACAAACGACTGAACTCCACAGATCACCACTCAGAAAGTATCACTGATAAATTCTGTTCACACATTTTAAATAAAGTTTGGAGAAATGCTGCATAAAAGTGTAACAATTAACTGAATGAAATTAGTACCATTAACTTTACCTGTAACACTAAATACTTGGTTTACTTGTATTCAAATCAAATATTTTATAAACTTAAATAGTTCGAGGCAGTTGGTTTCCTCAGACTGTTTGAGTTGAACTAACTTTTGTTTTACAGTGTGCAGTAAAACACTAAAAACTGTCCTTGCTGTGCTCTGATTTCACTTCCGCCTCATTAAAACTAACAGCAGCTCACGCCGGCCCTCTGGTCAAGATCTTAGTCTTACTCAGATTGAGTTATTTTTAGATTAATTGCCTTTTTGGAAACAGACTTGATGTGAACTTCGGCATCAGACTCTCGCTGACAACAGACGATATATGATTATATTGTTGCCAGGTGTAAAGAGGAGGGAGTTAATTCGAGAGCAGCTGTCCCCTGAGTGTTTTCAGCTCCTCGGGCTCTCAGCAAGTGATAATTAATTTGACAAGGTCTCGACCATTCGAGTGTTTCGATTTCCCACCGCACCTGTTTGCTCGCGCCAAAGCCCCTGAGAGGATGCCGGGCGGTGAGGGAGGAGGGAAGAGAATCTCTTGTGTACGGGACAAACCGCGTACACTTTTTAATTAACGGGGGTCGCCAAAACAAACGGGTGATGATAAGTTGTCACGGTCCTGTTATCAAAGCCGTGTCACATTTAATAGCCAGATTTATCAAAGTCTGGAGCTTTCGTGCAGCTCCTCTGTCCTCCCAATTATTTCTGTGTTGTGGCTGGGAAGCTCTCCGGTGGAGAGTGGTGGAGGTGTCGCTGGGTCTCCACAGCAATCTCAACACTGTGATAACAACTGTGCAGCGAACGCAGCATTAATGTTACTCTGATAAAAGCCCACACTGGGACTGTGATGTATGCTGTGCAATGTGGGTGAACTCAGAGAGGGTTTCCGCTCTTTAAGAAATCACTGTCCAGGTGGCTTTCTGAGGAAATCACTTCATTTACTTGTAGGCCATTTAAACCCAAGTTTTATTCCTCCTTTTTTAATGATGCAGAGTTAATGATGAAGTGTCTGAGGTTCACTTGAGGTGGTCAGCGTTTATGGGACACATGGCTATGGGTATTCGTGGCTGTTCTGACCACAGACGATTTTCCGCCGCAGTCTGCAGCAAATTGACTACAGTTTTCCACTAACCATAACATTAACTTTCATAATTGTCCACCAATTGTAAATAATAATTAATATGTTAAATATATTTTACTGAAATAATTATTTAATTAATAGGTATTTGTTTAAGAAAGCAGCCTTCTGATTACGTTTTCAGAGTCATATTGTTGCACAACCCACATAGAAAAGGCCTATTTTTGTTCCAGCCCAAACGTTTTTACTATATTAGCTTCTATATCGCTATATTTTTCCCCCCTAAATTCAGATATTCCATATGGGTCGGGCTCATATGAGGTCTTGATTGCAGCATATTTTATATTTTATATTTGGTAGGACAACCTGCAAAACCTGCTTTATAACGTTGAGTCTGTGAGGCGGTTCAGCTCTGTGATCCCACTGAGAGTGTCTTCAGGGCGTGTTGCCTGCCATACGTTGTTTACTTGTGTATTTTGTCCTTAAAAAGGATACAGTGTGTTTTTCCGGTTCAAATCTCCATTGACTGATTGACCTTCTGAACCCTGTCAGATTTAATTTATTTATTAAATGCAACAGACCACATATTTTTCTACAGCTTTCGTCTATAGTGTTTCCTGTCTTAACTTTTTTATTTTTGTAATGTAGATATTTATATGCTTTTACCAACAGGGCCCAAGAAGAACAACACAGCCAATTGAACAACCAGTTTGTCAGTCTAAATCTGAACAACAAAAGCTGGACAAGACTGGCTAGATTCTTGTTTCCTGTTGATTGAAGATCTAACAATAAACTCCACTCATGATTCTCGTGATTTTACTAGCGTCAACAAAAGCTAAGACCATTTGTCCTCTTGTGCTACTGTTAATACGAAGAGTTCTACATTCACTAACGTTCTGTCTCTGTCACGTAATGTTATCTGATGTTATCGGTTCTTGGAAGAAACAGATTTATGGACTAAATTCATCTACAATCCATGAAGAAGTGGCAACAAAACAGCTGGGACAGACTACAAAGCCATGAAGACAGCACGCTGTGCTCAGATTACATCCCTTTAATCACATTTGAAGACATTTTCAGAGCCAATAACCCCCATTTTACTCAAGATCAGACAACCAAATGATATATGATATGACAAGACTTTTCAATTGGATTTGTGCTCCAATCAGCTACCATATTCATCTCTATTTAATAAAATTGGATTTTCGCTCTGAGGGCAGTTACAGGTGAGTGTAGGCCACGCCAGAGAGCTGCCAAGGTCTTAAATTCAGTCTTAGTAATCACAAATATTGGCCTCGTATCTCTGCTGACATAACTTTCATTTAATTGAGGATGAGTAATGCTTGCAGTCACTTACTTTGGGGTCCTCGGGGAAGATGTTGTCCACCAGGCGTTTGTACCTCGGCCTCAGCGGCCCACAGCAGCCGCAAACTCCTGCAACAAACAACATCAGCAAAGGTTAAACTGACCTCTGTCATAAACTGCTGCCATCAGGTCTGACAGTCCAGGAGAAAAAAAGGGATAGCGAAGCCAAGAGACGACAAAATTGTGCTCTCAATTTGTGAAACTTGAAACGTTGACATATTAGGAGCTTCATATACTTCCTTAACTCCAGCGGAGCAGCTCAATATCACAACTTTCATCTGATAAATGAATGTAGACAACCTGCTGGCGCAATCATTTCATTTCTATTCTCCTCCTCTGACTCACATGGAGCTCTTCGACTGGCTGACACAATCCAAATTTACTCTGGATTCAAGAAGTGCGATAGGTCATCTCCTATTGACTGACATGAATTAGCATCACCGGCAGCGGTCTCCGAGTCAATAAGAAGTGATGAGTCATCAGAGTCGTGGCTCAGTGGTGTGGGGTGAATAAGTTAAAGTCACAGTGGGAACGATTACAGAGCGGTCGACCGGTCAACCATCAGGAAAGGGCAGAGTCCAGCAAGGAGGGTCTGACCCTGCGGTGTGTTCACTGATATTTGAATAAACCTCGTAAAAATCAAAGTGAGAAAAAAATTGACAGTGTTTTGAACTTACCCCTGCAAGGTTGATACTGTCAATTCATTCTGGTCCCAGTCTAAAGGGTTCATTGTAACCTTTTCTCAGATGAAATCCAGTAATTATGTCCTCAACACCCTAAAAAAACTGTCATCTAGCGGTGCCTGCAAATGAGAACGTGCTGTGAAACTATGTGTAGGAGAAACTACAGTGGCTGCGAAACTTGCAAAAAACTCAAAAAGGCCCTATCTGCAATCAGTGTTTGTTTGTTTGTATTGCATTTGCATTGCAAGATGGAGCTGGCGTACCATAACAGCACGAATCTGTATTTTTTATTTTATTTTTGATACTTAGAAAAAATAAGTGGGAAACAATTTTATTTATTTTTATTTAATTTTATGTCTCAGGAAATGTTAATTTGGAAAGTAATTTTATTTATTTTATTGGACTGATTTGACGGTTTACTACTATTGCATAATATGTATAATAATTGATGTAAATTTTCTAAAAAGGAAACAAAATTGGTTTTTTATTAAGTGATCTGTCTAGTTAATCTATTGTATATTATAAAATTTTTTGGGGCCCTTTTTATTAACTTAATGCAGAAAGTAGTTTTTATCCGGAGTTACTCCACCAAATTGATGGAATATTCGATAGAAAATACTCGATTACCAAAATATTCGATTAGCTGCAGCACCTATTTTATTGTATTAAATTGGCAAAGAATTTACTATTTACTGCCAGTCAAATTAGTGGGCGGGGCTTTCCCCAAAAAAAACTTAGTCCGGCTTGATGCAAGAGCCAGAGTACCTGGTGGAGGCTGCTCTCATCTATTACCAGTCAGAGAATCAGAAGTACTCCCCGAGAGGGGAATTTTGTTTGGAACAGTTGCTCAAGGTGCTCACACAATGACAGACAGCTGTATGAGCTGTTTATTAATATCAAATGTGTCCAAATTCAACCAAATTCGACATTGCACTCCAAGACATACCAAACATTCAGACAGACAGATGGACACTACTTACTTTATAGTTAGACGGACTGAACATGCAAACAGTTGATGCGACCAACAAATCAAGAAATAATACCATCTAACTGTCATGACAAGAATAATATGTACTGTTAAAAATCCTCAAACTTTCTCATGTATGCTGAGATTTGTAATGTTCCTTCCTGATCAATGAGTGTGACTGTCAGAACAGGGTGTCTTTAGTGAAATGTCAGTGCTTTTGTGTCTGAAGGAGCAGCAGACCACAGCCGAAAGGTCACAGCAGCATTCGGCTCCACTGACAGACGATCAATGAGGAAAGCCTTTTAGCATCAGAGACCGAACCCAACACAAACGCTTTAAAAGAAACATAGCGGGACGAAGGAAGGCAGAGACACCGACACACAACTTGTGCCGTGATATTTACAGGAAAATTACCAAAATGACCAACCGGTTTAGTGTTTAATAGATATAGTTTCCAAGTCAGGTGCTGTTTAAAGAACTTACTGATCATGTAATAAATCCCAGTGAGAGTAAAATCTTTTAACCATCGTTAAAATGTGGTTGTATTTTCAACATAGATTAGCCTAGGCACATAGCATATTAAGTACAGGAAAAGGAGGAAGTTGACCGAGGTTAGCTTAACTTAAACTTAAACAACCTTTTATGGATACAGTGTTTTAATACACATAAATATTCTATTTGAATCTTAACATTTTAAGTTCTACCTGGTAATCTCAAGGCTGCATCACTGTAGATCCTACCATTACGCCATCATTACCTGTAAGAGTCACCTTTCCCGCCTCCGACTCACAAAATTAACTTCAGGGAGCACGTTGTCTCCCAGGAGCCCCTGCTCAGACAGTTTACAGGACTCCCAGGGTACCATTCACCTTCCGTAAAGACCTCTCAGGTGATGTTAGGTCACCTTAACACCTCCAGAGTTTATTCCTCAGCTAATTTGCAGCAGAGTTTGACGGCAGCCCCCGGGAGTCTGGAGATTAATCAACTGCATTAAGGGCGCGTATCAGCGGCTTGTCGCCAAGGCAACCTTTCCAGAGCTGTGGCTTTAAAGCATTCATTATGGATCCTGCAATTACCTGCCACATTAGGACACAGAGCAGCGAGGGAGCTGCTGTGTGAGCGTTAGCGAGACCAGCCCGGTATAAAGGAATTCAGCTCTGAATGTGAAGACCTGAGGAAAAACATCTCCTGACCTTCTGGGTGATTTTATGTGAAGGTTAAAATACACACCAGAACAAGGACGATACTTCTGCAAAAATAAAGCCATTAATTCATTTATTAATACGACTGGGCTTCAAAGGGGACTTAACATGGTTGTAGAATGCTTTTCAAACGTTATTAGTGGACTTCAGCTGAGGAGTTCCTATACTTTGAATCTTTTACCACTAAACGTCACAATTGTTTTAACTTTTACAAATAACATCTGAGTAACTGAGTAATGGCATCCAAATCTATGACTCCATGCCTAAGGACGATGCAGCCGTTAGTGACATTAGCATAGCTGCAACATTGATCTGGTGCAAGTTGTTTGCATGTCGACATAAATTGGCATCAGGATGTAATTATTTCAGCATCTTACATACCACAAATGTAATACTTCCATCACTATAATTACTCTAAAAGAGATAAACTAAACTAACTACTCGCTTCTTCCATGAGGCCTGAAGTTTCTGGAAGGCACTACCACCACTGCTAAGCTAAGAGCATTAATATATAAAATGATCTAACAAACCTAGTGCTCTTGTTTCTCTTATCTTAACAAATAGATCCATGTGGAGCTAATGGACTCTCCGTATATAATACTGGTCTATAAGTCTGGAAAATACCACGCTGACTAATCCAATCATCAATCCATTCATTTATCTGTTAAACTAGTTTAAGATCTCCATTAAACGAAGATGTGACACATCAACCGTCTCAGAGCTCTTTCACATGAATGGCGACTAATGTTTCGCTTAATGATCGGGCCTCTGGATTTCACACAGTCCAAACTGTCTTGGAGTCCGTCCAGGCATCTGTAAAGCGCTGCCACGTGGATGATCAGACGGACGTTCAGAGGAAACGACTGAAATATGAGGAGCAACAACAGTGAAGCTGCAGGCAATCTGTCCGACAACACGGTGTCACTTTACAAGAAAACGACAACTAGAATATATAAGATTCAATTTCTGCCAATTGATCCTCCTAAATGTTACACACTGAATCTTTAAAAGGTCAAAACTCGTAGTATATAGAACAACGTGTTTTGGCTTGTGGCCCTGTAAGGTAGGTATGAAACAGAAACTATTCGCGATCATCATGCTGCAAGATAAAATTGTTGCCAAGTGTTCTGGTGTCTGATTTTTTGACAAATTATGTGTATTCCTGTCCGACACTTAGCCATTATTCTGTTAGAGAATTTACTCTACATTTCTTCACAGAAGTGAACCAAATGCTGAGATATGTTTTTTTACACGCCTCAAACTCAAGAAGGCCTCCAGCCCTAGTGGGTCCACTGTTGACTGAACGCCTGCAGTATATTGGTAAATCTGGAGAAGTGTTTATCAGCTTGTTGTTGTTGCTTTTGGAATCAATCTAGAATCATTATATGAGTTGCCAGATGCTTCAGAGAAAAATAAGACATGAGTAAAGCATAAAATAAAAACAGCTTTGGGTTGAAAACATCCTTATTTAACGCCGCTTGTGGGGCTTCTTCCCCACTACACACACGAACACTGAGCTCTTGCAGAGTCACAGCGTGTGCGTATGTAGACATTGAAGATGAAATGAAAACACCTGGGAAGGCTGCGTATACTCCTGCGCTGGGGGCCGTTTGGGGACAGCAGATGGATCGGCCCCCCAAGCTGCTGCTGCAGAGACGGAGGTGATACGACAGCTTTTTATTTCCAATCTGCCTCTGATTGGCTCCTCCGCAGACACTCGGGGTGAAAACCGATCGGCCTAATTGAGAGTTTGTTTTGAGAGTCTGACTGAGAGAATGTGTTCGCAGTTATTATATAACACCGCTTACAGCCTGGAGGGGATTTCTGCCTCGTTCTGGTAACCAAAGGATCACAGGTTGCATTCCAAACATTTGAAAATAAACGTTTCATCAGACGTGCTGAACAAAATTATCCTGTGGCTTTTTCCAGAGGTTTCAGCAGCAGCAGTTACCTCCCTCAGAAGATGGAAAGTGGACTTTTCTGTCATGCTTTTGTTTCTGTGATCGAGGAAAGAAAAAAGCTCAGAGTTCCTACAGTTTTACTCCAACCAAGGTTTACGTAGGCGATCTGAGTGAGGGGCTAAAATAACTTTCCAGGACAACATTGATTATTTCCAGGATATCTGGTAATTTTAAGACAGCTTGGGATCAGAAATGGGATTTATGAGACCGATATCTGATACCAATAATGGTTTCAAAAGTGGAAGAAAATCACTGA